TAAGAAGAAGTAATATAAATATTATATTTAATTATACGAGGAAAGAAGTAAAGAAATATTATATTATTAATATTCTTTTAAATACTTTTTATAGGAATAAAGTTAAAAGTCTTAGTATTATTAACTAATATATATAATAATATTAATAAGATTATATTACTATATTTGTATATATTACTTTATTATAGTATATGTTAATATATAAAAGAATTAATAATTTGTATTTTATCTTTGTATTTTTATATTAAATACAAAATACAATATATATATTTATATTTGTATTATAGAGTGTAAAGTAAAAAATATAAATACAAATACATATATTATATTATATTAGAAAAGAAATACAAATACATATATTTATATTATATTTTATTTATATTATATTTTTTTAACTCTCTAATACTAAGCCTTTACTAATAGTAAAGCTAGACTATTTATACTTATAAGCCTATAAATACTAAGTATATATACTAATAGTAAATATATAATTATTATAAAGCTACTAGTAAAAGCTTACTACCTATATATAGATTAGATTTCTTATTAAATATATATTTAGTAATTTATATTATATTTAGTATCTAGTATAAAATAAAGCTTTTACTTTATATAACGTAATACTTATTAAGAAATAACTCTTTAATAAATTAATAAATAGATTACTTAATAAGCTTTATAAAGCTAACTTTTTAGTAATTTAATAATAAACTAACTAGCTAATAGTAGCTAGTAATTAATTCTTTTTATATAAAGAAGCTAATAAGGAATTAAATAAAGTAATAAAGTATATAAATATTACTTTACTAGGCGCTTTATAATTAGGTAACGTACTAAAATATCTATATAAGTAAGTAAAGTTTATACTTCTTCTTACTTTCCTACTATTACTATTAAGCGCCTTTTTTATAGCCTTTATAAATATTAATATAAGGGGTAATAAAACAAAGACTAATAGCTCTAAATTATTTAATCTAATAGCTAATAGCTAAATAATTACTAATAGTAAAATATTTAATAAGTAAATACTTAAATTAATAGCTAATAGTATATTAATTAGTTTATAAATAGCTAATAGCCTATAAGCTAGTAACTTACTAAGAACTAATAGTTCTAAAATAATAAGGATAGTAATCCCCTATACCTTATTTTATCCCTATATAATTAATTTATAAGACGTTACTAAGTATAAAAAGCTATTAAATTCCTAAGTAACTATAGCTAGTCTATTAGATAATCTCTAGTTAGTAGTAACCTTACTTAAAGCTGTTATAAAAAGGTATTATCTTACTATCTATATAGGTAGTTAGATTATACTAAGGACTTTATTTAAGGCTACTTTTCTTATAGGGCTTACTTTATAGTAAAAGATTATAGACTATATATAAAGTAGCTTATAAGTAATAATATAGTCTAGTATACTATAAAGTTAACTAATAAGTAAAAATTACTACCTTTAGCTAAAGTGCGCTTATAGCTAAGAATTAATTAACTATATAACGCCTAATAGGTATAATAAGTATAAAGACGTTACTAGTAAATTACTAGTATATAATAAGGCGTTACTAGACCTTATAGGCTAATAAGTATATTTTAGAAGTTATTACACCTTTTACTAATTTATAAATAGTTAAAAGGCTACTTGTATAAAAAGTAATTTAAAGACGTCAAAATAGTATATCTATATAAGTATAAAATATTAAAATCTTTAGTAATAGTACTATAAGTAGTAGCTAAAGGGTATTAAATCCTTAGCTACTATTAGGTATATACCTATAAGCTTAATAAATATAGTTAATTAACTAAATTTAAAGTAAGACTTATAGTTTATAGTAACTAATAAGTAAAAGATTTATAAAATACTTATATAGCTATATTAGTAGGTATATTATTTAAAATACTTATAGTAATAGCTACTTACTTTAATCTAGAATTACTTTAATATAATATAGTAAATATATTTATTTATACTACTATTAATAAGGTAGTATTTATAAAGATACCTCTAGGCTACTAAATCTCTAGCTAGATCCTCTAGCTACTAAAAGCGCTATATAGGCTTTAGTAATTACTACTGTTATAGTAAAAGCACCTTAAAAAGGGATTACTATCTAGGGATTTTACTAAGTACCTAGTAAAAGTTACTATTAGAAAAAGGATTATATTATATTCTTTTATTATATTTATAACTATATATTAGTCTATTACTATATAAATAAAGTATAAGTAAGTAATAAAATAGTAGCCTTTTAGTAATAATACTGCTTTAAAAGTAGAGGCCTATTATAATAGTTCTTTAGCCTTAAAGTAATTTATAACTAAAGTAACTATTATCTCTAGCTTTTATAAGTAGTATACTATAATAAAATAATAAAACTACTACTAAAAATAGTAAATATAAATATAATAAATTATTACTTATAATAAAGGCTAAGCTACTACTTAGTAAATATATAGCCTTATTATAAGAAGTTAACTAATATTAAAAAAAAGTAAAAATAATCTTTTATATAGTAGTAATAACTTAGCTAGAAATTACTTTTATAGCTAGCTAGCTTAGCTACTTTAACTATAATCTAAATCTAGATTACTAAAAAGCTATAAATTATATACTTAAGTATTTTTATTAAATATAGTACTTTACCTTAAATATAAAGTATTACTAAGTAGTAAAAATAATATATTAAAGGTTACTTTAGACGCCTTATTTACTAATAACTTACTAGACTATTATAGCTTATAAGTATATATATTAAAGCTATTTAGAGGGATTATCTCCTAGTAAGCTAATAAATAGAATATAGTAATAACGTTAACTACTAAGGCTAAATTACTAGCCTTATTATTTACTATAAAGGAGGCGCTTTTTACTAGTAAATTAACTACTACACTAAGTATTTAACTATTAATATAACTAGGAACTAAATTATTACTTAATAAGTAAGTAGCTACTAAATAGCTACTAACTATTTATATTAGCTATATAATACCTAAACTATTAGGCTTATTACTAAAAAGCTTATTTAATTATAAATTAGGCTATAGTATATAGATATTTATAACTACTAGCTATACTAAGAAGTAGTAGTAAATTAAATTACTATTAAATATAAAAAGTTTACTAAATTAATAGCTAATAGATTAATAAAGGCACTAAGTATACTATAATTAACTATATTTATAGCTTAATAAAATATAAGTAGCTAATATATATAACTTAAAGTAAATTAATAGTAAGAATTAGCTAATAATAAAGTAGAGCTTTACTACTAAATAGAGAAGGAAAATATATAAGAGATTAAAAGATAATTAATAAATAAATAGGCTATATATAGAGAAAATTTAGTATAGGCTCTATAGTAATTAATTACATTACTTGCACTAAGGAGGTGTATTAAATATAGTAATGTTATATATAAATTAGCTAGTAAAAATATAGTTACCCTATAGTAAATTATTAGGGAATAGGTAGTAAATTAGCCCTACTTTTAGTAGTAACTTTACTAATAATATTACTAGGATTAGCTAGGGATTTCCTAACTAAAGAATAAGGGTTTTTCCTTATTTCTATAAGAATTTATAATAGTTATATAACATATAATAGAATTAATTGAGTAACTATTATAATCCTTACTATTTAATAAGTATTAAGCTATCTAAACTAATTACTATATAATTATAAGATAGTTACCTTATTATTATTATTCTTATTAATTATTATAATAGTATTTAATTAGTAAATAGGTATATTAGTTATTATAAGTATATATATCAGACTATTAATTATTAAATTATAAGGATTATAATAGTTAATTAATTAATACTATTATGTATTCTATAACTATAGTACAATCCTATAGGAACAGGGAAATCCCCCTATTTCTTGGTTAGGAAATCCCAGGCCAATCCTGGCGATATTATTGGTGAAATCACTATTAAAGTGGGGGCGATTTCACAGCCCATTCCCCGGCGATTCGCCATAGGGCAACCGTACATTCGCCGGTGAATTCACGTGTACTTTCGCCACATTTGACAAGTTTTTAGGCCTCCGTTGGTGACGGCGTTCTCCGACACCCAGCCCGAAGCCTGATCGTCGGGGGTCGTCTCGCAATCAAAGCCAACCGTCACAATGCTGATGGTAGCCTCTTTGGCCCTGATCGCGCGCATAAGGCTGGAAACCATGGCGGCCTCGGGCCTCTGCTCTTTCATGATGCCGCCGTCGGAAACCCACAGCAGGTGGTTTGCGTTGTTCGTGATTTTCTGGATGGAAGCGAACTCCGTGCTGGTCTATAGATAACACATTAAAATCCCACCAGGAGTGGCGAGCATCAGCAGCCTCACCAGGGTTTCTCATGGCCGGTCGCATGTCTATGCCGTTGTCGTCGTCGGGCGTGACGAGGGCCTTTTGATGGACACGTCGCGAAGGACGTAGTTGGCAATCTCGACGTTGCCAGCGCCGAGCTCAGTCATTCGTGTGGTGGCTTTCATGGCCACTGCGACGAGGTTAGCGTCAGTTCACGGAACAACTGTGCGCAAGCAAATGGTGGCCGCTATGGATGCCGTGGACTTACTAGAGAAGTACGCCGCCGCCGGGAACACGGCCTCGTCGACCATGAGTAAGAGGGTAAGTCGACGATGAGGCTTCCCTGGTTACAGATATAGGTTTGTGCTAGACCCTGCTTTATGTTTATGTTTTAAAATGTTAGGCCTATATTACATACAGAAGAGAAACCGTTCCCAAGCCCTATATCAAATTCCATTTGCGTACCATCTGGAACTGACGCCGTTTGGTCAGAAAACCTTAGAAACCTCTGGTTGCGTATGTAGCGCAGCTAGATAACTAAGACCTACAGGTACCGTATCCACTGGTTATATCCGGATAAAGCTAATTATCGGGCTAACGGCAAGGAGTATCGCGGCCGCTGTGACAGGTATAGTATGCTGGCAGAAACAGGGATCTAGAAGTAGCAATATAGGATAGTAGTGTACATAAGCAAGAAGTTATAGTGTGAGTACCAGATAAATGTTGTTGCTAATAGGCAACAGGTAAGTGGGTAGATAGTTAGGAGGATGGATAGGTAGGGTTAGTAGATTGACCGCTTTCTATATCAGGCCTGGCGGAATGGGCCTGTACTAACTACTATCGGACATCAGCTAGCTAGCTTTGGCTAGACCCTTTATTAGCTTTATCCGGATCTCGAGAGTGTAGGCGGTAGTGTACTTGGACTATTAGAGACAATCTAAAACATTTAAGGCAAAGCACCTACTTTTCGGCACCCCTAGCATTTCAGCACCCTAAAAATAAAGCCATCATAACTAACACTACTTTATTTAATTAACTATTAATAACCTCTTAATGCTATAATAATACAGCTTTTAGCCTTACTAGGTAATTCTAACTTACTAGATTTATTTAGCTTATTTTTAGCATTACTAGCCTTAATTTACGCTTGTTGTATATCCTTAATTATTACAAACTTTATATTTAGATCTATAGTAATAGCCTTCCTCTTCCTGCTACTAGTATTATTAACCTTAGCCTAGAGAAGCTCTATTTAGTGCTAGGTAATAGCTAAGTTAAAGGACTACTATTAGAAGCCTTTTTAAATCTTTCTAAAGAGCTAGCATTATATAGTAATAGTTTAATCTATTTAGCTAAATAATTATAGTTAGTTATCTAGCTCCCTCCTTTTCCTTAGCGTAGACTACTTAATAGCAGATACCTATTCCTTATAATCCTAGGTATCCTAGCTACTAGAGGCCCCTTTTAACCTCTTATTAAATAGTATTAATATCTTATTAGGTAGTATTAATAGTGCTAATATATCTAGTAATAGATAAGAGCTTATTATAGGCTTTATAATAATAATAGGCTATAACTTAATGTATTTCTAGCTACTTTTGATATTACTAATAGTTATCTTAGCCTAATAAGCCTTTTAATAATATATAATAAAGTTTTTTTTACTAATAATAGTTAAATTATTTTACTGTATAAGGTATCTAAGCTCCTTATAATAAGCTACTTTTATAAGACTAAAAACTACTTAGTTAAGTAGCTAGAGGATATAAGAGGTATATAGTAGTAAGAATAATAAATAGATATTATTAATATAATATAACTATATAAAATCTATTATTATATAGCTTTTATACTTATTTATAATAAGTAGTCTAGCCTAATTAAGTTAAGAAGGCTTAGTCTAAGAGAGAAAGACCCTTTTTATTTATTTAAACTAAGAAATACAACTGTACAAAAGAGTACGCAGGTCACCTGTTTTATTACTACAATTAAATAGTTACACACTTATAAGGGCAATTAATATCTAACTCACCCCCTCAAGGGCTTATAAAGCTTATAGGCCTTAGACACGTTATGTTATGTGAGGTAGAAACCCTAGATTCCTAGGTAAAGACCCTCTATTATATGTGTCGCGACCGTGCATTAAACTCAGTCAATTGACTGGGAGCTGGGCTTATAACCACTAAGAAATGCGACCGTATAAAAGAGTACGCAGGTCACCTGTTTTGTTACTGCAATTAAATAGTTACACACTTATAAGGGCAATTAATATCTAACTTTTAATAGTAGTAGTATTAGTAGTCTATCTATTCTCTATTACTATAAATTCCTATCCTTTATATAAGCTAAGATCTAGAGAGAACTACTACTACTAGACTTTCTTACCCTTATATATAACTAAGTGATAAATAAGAATACTTTTAGTAGATATATACTTAATAATAGATACCTAGGCTTATAATCTAGGCTACTTTTTTATTACTAAATTTATTTTTACTCTACCTAGCACTAGCTTATTATCCCCCTTACCCTTAAGGATACTAGTCTTATTTATATTATATCTATTAGCTAGTTTAATAGTAGTAATATAAGGTATAGTAAGATATTTAAACTATTCCCTAATAACCTTAGTAGATACCTTATTTAGATGCCTTAAATTAATAAAGTGACTTCTCTAGACCTTAATTAATAGGTTTCTTTACCTAAATCTATCTACCTATTACTTACCTAAAGGTTAGGTATCTCCTATAGTATTAAGGATACGCTAGGCTAGTTCTTTAACCTATTAATAGGTTAGTAGCAGGCTATAAAGGGCTAGCACTACCTTCTAACAGGTGTATAGTAACTTAATATAATTAATCTAAGCTAAGGAGAGAAAGAGTTATTCTCTAGTATGCCTTTATATATATAGTATTTAAGTAAGTACGCTAAGTAAGTATAAACTAGTTATAGGTGCGTACGTTATAATACGTTATAGTAAGTAAAGCCTTACTATATATACTATAGCTCTAGCCTATAATATATACCCCTCCTTTACCCCTATTACTAGTAGTAAAACCTTAGCTAGGCCTTTACCTTAGTAGGTATATAACCTAGAAAACCTATCTTATTATAAGTTAACTATATACCTTACTTATTTTTTTTTCTTTCTTTTTTTTTAAAGTAAGCTTTTTTAATAATATTATAAGTGTCTTATCTTATTTTATTACGTTTTTTATATTATTATATTACTTTACTAATATATTTACTTCTTTTTTTACTAAAGTTAATTATAGTAAGATACTTATAAGTGCTCCCTACTTCTTATTATAAGTATATATATATATAATTTAGTATAAATCTAATACTAACTTATTACTTATAGCCTCCCCTTATTACTAGTTAGTTACTTTCCCTAGAGGGTAATAAGCTTAAGCCTATAGCACCTAAGACTTTTAGCCTACTACTATTATACTAGTTAGTTTATAGTTATATATCTTTATAATACGTTTTATTACTAACTTATTATAGTTAGCTATCCCCTTATTACTATTCTTACTACTAATTAAGAGGGTATACCTTATAGAGGGCGTTCTCTAGGTTTCTTCTTACTAGTCTTATACTAACTACCTAGGTAAGGATCTTATAGTATACTACTATACTAAAAACGTATATAGCTTTAGTATATATTATACTACTTACTCTTTAAGTAACTAGGCTTACTTAAATAGTATATATTATTTTTATATATATTTAGCTTATATTACTATTATTAACTTATTATAAATTCTTATATCCTTTATAAGTCTTTATAAGGCTATAGCTATTACTACTACTACTATTATTAATAGCTTTATAAGTAACCTTATCCTTTAGGATACTTATACTACTACTACTAAGGCCTAGTAAGTCTTAGTATACTTTAAGTAAAGCGTTACTTATATAGCTAGAAAAAGCGCTAAGAGTACGTACTTATATAAGTAAGTAAAGTTTAAGGCATGCCCTCTTATTACTATACTACTTTTCCTAGTAATTACTACTACTACTACTACTACTACTACTACTAATACTATAGTCTTCTTACTTAGTAAGCCTTACCTAAGTAGCTTTACTACTACCTAGGCTAAGTGCCTTATTATAGCCTAAGAGAGTATTACTACTTTTTTAGCTAATATAAGTTATCCTCTTCTTTATATAATACTTATACTAATTATTATTTTACTTTATATAGTTTATTACCTTTATTTATACTTAAGATATACCCTTACTACTTAAGCTCTTACCTAAGCCCTCTCTTAAGTTATAAGGCTATTTTTATTACTTTTTATTAGCCTTATATACTCTTTATATACCTTAGGTATATTAGCTTTTTTTATCCTCTTTACTAATACTAATATATCTTTTAGGGTTAGGTCCTAACTATAGGCTATAGCCTAATATAGATTTATTTACCTTATATTTTTTCTACCTTTATTATATATATCTTATGTTTTTATTATACTTATAAATTAGGCTATATTTACTTTTATAGTTATTTAGGGCTACTATATCTTTAATAAGCGTTATAAGCTTCTAGGTAGGCTTTATAAACCTTTCTTAATAGACTAGTGCCTAGCGCTTCTTTAATTTACTTTTCTTATACTAAGTAGTATAAACTATTTTATTTACTTACTATTTCTTTTTCTTATTTTTAATTACTAATAGGGGTTATATATTAGTAATACTTTACTTTAGTAAAAGGTTATTTATAGTATAATATAGTAAGTTTATATAAAACTTATTATAAATATTACTAGGTGTATTAAGCTTTACTACTAAAAGTAAGATAACCTTAGTAACTTAATATTTATAATATAGCTAATTAAGCTTCTAGTTTAGCCTAAGAAAGTAATAGTTTTATATTAATAACTACACTTTATTACCTATATAAAAGCGCTTTACTATACTCCTTTGATAATTTATAGATTTTTATATAATATCCTAAGCTACTACTATAATAGCTTACGCTATTAATATTATATTTACTATTTATTAAATAAATCTCTAGGTAATTATTTTATATAAATCTAATACTTTTAGTATATCTTTTTATATTATAATAAGGTTAATATAATATCTATATTTTAGAAAAAACAGGCTTATATAAGTTATAGCTACTACTTAGTTATTAATTACTAGCTAGGTAACTAGTAACTAATATACCTACTCTTCTTATAAGTAACTAATATATATATATAGTATTACCTAGACTTCTTAGTTAAATTATTTTATTACTTTATTACTTTATAAGTAGTATAATATACTAAGTTATTATAAGATACTAGTAAGTATA